AGAAACATAGACCAGTTGAACAGAATAAAGAGCACAGAAATAAACCCATGTCTCTGTGGTCAATTAATATTTGACAGAGGGGGCAAGAGCATAAAATAGAGTAAAAATAGCCTCTTCAATAAATGGTGTTGGGAGATCTGGACAGGTACATGCTAAAAAATGAAACTAGATTACCAACTTACCATACACCAAAATAAAGTCAAGATGGATAAAAGACTTAAATATAAGTTGTGACACCATAGAAGTTCTAAAGGAGAAAATAGGCAGGAAAATTTCAGATATCCTACCATAGCAATATTTTCACTGATACGTCCCCTCAGGAAAGGGATATAAAGGAAATAATAAACAAATGGAATTACATCTAATTAAAAAGCTTCTGCACAGCTAAACAACAAAATGAAAAGGGATCCAACCATATAGGAAAACATATGTGCCAATGATACCTCAGGCAAGGGTTTGATCTCCAAAATATATAAAGAACTCAAACAGCTCAACACTAGGAAGACAAACAATCCAATTAAAAAATGGGCAAAGGACCTGAACAGACACTTCTCTAAGGAGAGCATACACAGGGCCCAGAGACACTTTAAAAAGTGCCCAACGTCATAAGCCATCAGAGAGATGCAAATTAAGATCACAATGAGATACCACTTCACACCTGTCAGAATGGCCATCATTAACAAATCAACAAACAACAAGTGCTGGCAAGGTTGTGAAAAAAAAGGGAACCCTTGTGCACTGTTGGAGGGAATGCAAACTGGTGCACCCACTGTGGAAAACAGTATGGAATTCCCTCAAAAAACAAAAAATGGAACTGCCTTTTGATCCAGTGACTCCACTGCTAGGATTATACCGAAGAATCCTGAAACACCAATTCAAAAGAACTTTTGCACCCCAATGTTCATAGCAGCATTGCTTATGATAGCCAAGTGCAGGGAACAGCCTAAGTGCCCATCAGTAAACGAATGGATCAAAAAACTGGTACATTTACACAATGGAATACTATGCAGCAGAAAGAAAGAAGGAGCTCCTACCCTTTGCAAGAGCATGCATGGAACTGGAGAGCATTATGCTAAGTGAAACAAGCCAGGTAGTGAAAGACAAATACTATATGATCTCATCTATAAGTGGAACCCCATCAATCAAACAAACAAATGAGCAAATAGAACCAGAGGCATGGAAATAAAAAACAAACTGACAGTGACCAGAGGGGAGGAGGAAGAGGGATAAAGGGGGTAAGTAGGGGAAAGGTCAAGTCAAGGAACATGTACAGAGGACCCAAGGGCATGCACGATTGGGTGGGGACTAACTGTGAGAGTGGGGGTGGGGGTGGCGGGGCAGGGGGGAGCAATGGGGAGAAATGTGGGACAACTGTAAATGAACAACAATAAAAGTAATAATAAAAAAATCATAAGGGAAGCCTTTCCCTTATGAGATGGTCTCATAGAAAGCGCGTGTTTTCTTCAACTGTATAATCTCTGATAAACAAATCATAAAAATATCAAATTCTCAGGAAATTTATATTTCTACCTTGCATTGTTTTCCACAATGTTTGATACTATCACTGGTAGGTTGCAAAACGACTAAAAACGGTTAATTAACCTGGAACAACTCATCTTAACTTACATATGTTTTCAAAAAGGTATTTTGTCCTCCATTCATAACATTGTTTTAGTTTTCGCAAAAATGTATTATGTCCATGTGTAAGTTAAGAATCTTATGTCGTGAAGATTTTAATAAGTGTGTTCATAATTGGAAATGATCTTTTCTTTGAAAAATGCAATATTTTATTAATATTGAGTTTCTTCCTAAGAGTTATTGCCATGGGCTTACTATTTATAACTTAGGTTTCTTGTTATAAATCACAAAGTTTCCACCTGGCATAGAGTACATTTAGATGAAAAACCACATGATATTAACCTACTACCATGAGTCAAAAGAAAATCCCCCACTAAATTCCCCAGCTCAAAACTCCAATTAACTGTTGCTATTCAAACTAAGGTTGTTAGTTTTCCTACACTATTTAAATGACTAAAACTGAATGCCTCAGCCAGAATTGGAGCCTCACTGGCCTATGATGTCTGAGCCATGCATATGATTATTTACACATATTATATAGCACTTTGATTAAAAAAGGTAAAGAGGGTATTCCAGGCAAGGCCAGTCGTTCAGTCCCTCAGACACAACTATGCAAACTCAGTATGACCTTCTTAGCCTAAAGGGAGAGCTAGAAAGTATATAAGAGAACATGTAGGATGTCAGCATGAGAAAAAGTTTGAACTGGGAATTATGATACATGACACTTGCACAAATTTCACTTAACACAGCAAATTATAACTTCTATAATTGTAACCTCTACCTATAAAAAGGTATAGGATGACATTTGCCAAGGAATTGTATTTATAGGAACTCAGAACCTACCTTTGACATTTTGTTATAATATGCAACAAGAATTGTCTAGCTTGGACATGGTGAAGAGGTTCCTAAAAGTAAAAGTAGCATCACATCAAAACCAAGTCTTGTATCAACTCCACCAACTCAAAGCGTTTAAATAATAATTCTCTCTTGGAATAAGATTTGTCTCACTCTATCTTTAGCGCATGCATTAAAAATATCTTTTAACTATGAATCATGACCCATCAGTAGGTAATGAAATCGATTTATTGAGTCAATACCATCATTTTTAAATGCAATAGAACAAAGTCAAATAGAAAATATGAGGCTATCTTGTGCTAAAGACAAGCATGATTTTCTGAAATTTTTATTTCATTTGTTATTTGTATCTATGTACATGAAAATATATACGTATTATAGTTTATAAAAGCTGTAAAAATCACTCATTTAGACAACTTCTCAAGAACCAAAATTTTTTCTAGCATTATTTGAAACTAATAAAAGGGTGTGAGGTCCAAACTAATTGGGCAACTCTCAACCCTCTCTGCAATCACCACAAAAACTATCATCATTTAGCATGCAAGGATAATTATTATTGGACTTTGTTTTATTTTGTAGTAAGCCAACTTTTAATTTTTTTTTTTTTTGCATTTTTAAAAGATCAGGTCATGTAGAAATTCAAATGGAACAACTGTGACTTTTGCCTCTAATGATAAAATGGACCACACAAATAAAGATGACCTATGTAATAGTGGTAATTGTAATATGTCACTAAAAAAAAAAAAAAATCACTGAAGCAAAGTGATGTTTTAAAATCCACACTGGAGAAAAGGGAGAGGAATTTTAGAAACAACTATTATTGCATTTCCCAAACACTTAAACTAACACACTAAAGGCCAATTCCCAAGTGAATTCATCTTGTCAGTAAATTCAGTCCTTAATTTACAATCAGGTTTGTCTACAACACATACAAGGTGACTGGATGAGCCTGGAAAGAAGAAAGGAAGACTATGAAGTGTAATCCTCCACCCTGGAGGGGTTACACTCAAGGACAGACACAAGGAATAAGTGCCTCTTCATGGTTTTCATGTAGAAAAGATGGCCACTTCATAGTAAGCAACATCCAATGAGAACCCAGAGCATCCGGAAGTTCTCCACAGAGGAGGGTCTGGAATAGCAGTGGTGGTAGGGTGAAGAACAATCATGCTGAGGATGAACAGGACGTAGCTGGAGAACCAGCCCACTTACTAGTACTAACTAAATGCGTATGCAGCTGCCAACTTCGGACCAAAGACAGTACCCCACATGTTGTCCAAGACTCAGAAGGGATTTATCCAGATTTAGAAATGATCTAGCATGGTAGCTAAGTCCCTTGGTCAAAACAAGACAAGTGTTGCAATAAATTAAACTCTCTAATTGGGATTGCCTTTGAAAAAGAAATGGGGATTTTGCCCCGTAACCTGACAAACCCAGGTACCCAATTCTTAGGGACCTTTTACAGACCATAACCCACTCCTCCCAGCACTGCTTTGTGTGTGAGAGTACTGTCCAGGAGAACTCCATTCAGCATGGAAACTAGGTATCCTAAATTTAGAGAACATGTGTACTCTACTCCTTAAGAGAAGCAGAAGGTTGAGGAAAATGTTCCTGTGATGGAGTTGAATCTTCTAAGGAAAAGTATTACAGAATAATTTGGGGGATAATTTGCTTTGTTTTTATTGGTGAAGGAAAATGAGAGCTATTTGTGTTTTATGCTATTTTTTTCTCTCCATGATATTAAGACGATTATCCAGGTCTTCTTGTTGCAGAAAGATTAGGCACTCTCTTCTGGCCAAAGCAGAGATTCCTGAAGAGAATCTCTCTTCCTAACTGATGTTTTAGGAAAGCCTAACCTCAAAAAAGGAACAAAAGGAGTATCTCTGAGAGAGAAATAGTTTGCAAAGGGGACTTCCACTGTAAAAAAAAAAAAAAAAAAAAAATTAAGAAAAAGATTAAGAAGAGAGGGAAAAGCCACTATGGCTAGGAACAGGGCAGAAGTGTGAAGTTTCAAGAGGTAGAAATGGGAACCTAACCAACTCCTCCCTCACAAGAATGACCTGGCCACAGGATATGCTCAGAGAGGCTGATTCTTAGTTCAGGAAACCTTGCCTCAGCAAAGATTTCCATGTTCATGTATAGTGTGCACTTAGCAGAGGCCTCTGCCTCCAAAGGACCATCTGGGCTTGTGCAATCAGCAATTGGCTAGCAAGGAGTGTAGACTAAAAGACCTAGAGCGGTCTTGAATTTCCTGCTACTTACTTGGTGAGAGGTGAGAGGAACACTGGCCCCAATCTAACAATTGATGTTGACTATGAAGGGGATTTAAATTTTGCTTCAAGATGAAATAAATGTGACATTTCTTCATGCTCCAGCACACCTGATGTATCTATGTTTTGTAAAGGTATAGTAATTTAAATTAGTAAATGAGAGAAATATAAAACGGTATATTTGTATCTGCATCTGAATTATAATTTTATTAAATTCCTTACAATGAACCAAAAATTTGAGCAGCTCTGTGGACTATATTTAAATAAAAATAAGTCTCACAATACATAATACAGTCCCACTGATGTTTATGATGTATTGAGCTCATTAGTTTTACCACTCTGCATCACCAATGGCTTTTGCAAATACATAGTCTCTCCCTCCAAAACACATAACACCATCTTTCAAATAGAATTTCCATTTGTTCTTGCTTCGATGAATCTGGAGGGAGAAAAATAGTCTAAATTAATTAAAGTCAAAGGATTATTTATATTTCTTTAAATATCACATAATCATTCTCACCCTAAATGGGAGTTCTTTAAAAATAAGGCCTCCTCAAGAAAGTTCATTCATTCATTCAGCAAATATTTGAGGTTCCTATGTGTCAGATATTGTTTTAGGCACTGGATATATCAGTTTTTAAAAAGATATGTATATACATACATATATATTTTAACAAACAGAAAAGAATCCTACCTTTGAAAAGTTTACATTTTAGTAAGGATGAGGGAAATAGAAATCTAATAAATACATGAATTATACAGAATATTAACAGCTGATAACTGCTATGAAAAATAAAACAAGAAACAGAACATCACAAATACAGAGGTAGGGTTATAATTTTAAATAAAAGAGTCGGAGTGGGCCTCATTTATGAGGTAACAGAAGCAAAGATTGAAGAAGGTGAGAGATAAAGCCAGGAAGATGTTGACGAGTGAGCATTCCAGGCAAAGAGCACAGAACTGCACAGGTCCTAAGGAGGAGATGCCTGGGCTGTTAGGAAGAGCAAAGTGTTCAGGATGTCTGCAAAGGAATAAACAGAGAGATGTAGTTAACATTATGAGAAATATTTAAAAGTCACGTTTCATTTTGAAGAAAAAGGCCACAATAAAGCACTGGGTAAGGTCAGAAGATAAAGCTTATAATCTATTAGATTCTATTGGCTGCTCTTTGAATTCAGTGAATCAGCCTAGATACAGATGAAATAAAAACTATAGAAACCTACTACACCTCAAGAGGTAAGAAATTATAAAATCACTGTTACCCCTGGGTAAACCACAAATGACTACATATTTTATAAACCTTAGGTTTGTGTGATCTGAAATCAAGGTTAAACATTAAACCTTAGTTGTTGACTGCAAGTAGTCAAATCAAGAAAAAGAAGTCTATGATTACTCTTCAGATGCATTTTGTGAAAGCATAAGAAAATGCAAAGGATAAACCCCTATTTGTGTTAGAAAAGTCCTAATAATAGAAAATTTTTTCTCAGAGATTGATTCCCAAATTTTTACTTGCATGTTAAAAAGTCTCAACACAACAGTGACAACAGAATCCTGAACAATGGTATTAAGATTTGAACAGAATTAGCAGAACAACAATAGCAGTAACGACTCTTTCAAGTAGCTTTATCAAGTGACTATATTTATTCTAAAAAGGTATCTAAGGTTCAATATTAGAAATGTATTAATATAACAAGCATATTAGAGACAGACTCAGAGAGCTAGAGAGCAGGCTGACAGCTCTGGAGGGTGCATTAGGAGGTAAAGGGATCAAGCAAAAAGGAAAAAGGACTCATTGACATGGTCAACAATGTGGCGACTGAAGTGGGGAAGGGGACTATAAGGAAGATAAATGGTAATGAAAAATATAATAAAAAATAAAGTTTTTTTTAAAAAACTATGAGTCCTGGCAGATGTGGCTCAGTGGATTGAGTGACGGCCTGCAAACCAAAGGGTAAACAGTTCGATTGCCAGTCAAGGCACATGCCTGGGTTGCAGGCCAGGTCCCCATCAGGGGGCACACGAGAGGCAACCACACACTGATGTGTCTCTCCTCTCTTTCTCCCTCCCTTCCCCTCTCTCTAAAATAAATAAATAAATAAAAAATTTTTATAAAAAACTGTTGCTACACCTAAGGAGACAAATTATATAATCATCTTCAATGATACTTAAAAAGCACTTCATAAAACTCATACTTTAAGTTTTTAACTCAAAATAAGAATCAAAGGCTATGTCACACACACACACACACACACACACACACACACACACACACACACTCTCCTACCTCAGTCTGAAAGCCATTGCCTCAATGCCTAGAGGAGAAAACCTAAAGGTATTCCCACTAAAGTCAGGACATAAAGTTAGGCAAAAAAGAAGTCAAGATATAAGAATTAGAAAGGATGGAATAAATTTGCAGATGCAATAACCACATGCATGATAAACCTAAAATAATCAATTTTTAAAATGACTAAATAAAAATTCAGTATTGATACAAAATATACAGAAATTCATTGCCTTTACCTATACATGTGACAGTTTAAAAATATAAAGAAAGAGCCCATTACCACTGCAACAAAAGAGATTAAAAAGTTAGGACTAAATTTTTAAAATAGTTCATCTACTGGCACCATTCAACACACTCTTCTCTTTGAAATACTTTCCTCACTTCAATTCTAGAACACTCCTGGTTTTCCACCTAACTCTCTGGCCACTTCTTAGTTTTCTTTACTGATTCCTCTTCATCTCTCTTACCTCTCAGTTTTAGAATGTACCAAGACTCTTCTGTTTATATTCTCTCTTGGTGGTCATAACTAATATCATGGCTTTAAATACCATCTATATGCAGACGGCTCCTAAAATTTATATATCTAGTTCATACCTCTCCCCTAAATTCCAGATTCTCATTCAACTGCTTCACCATCTCTTCCTGAATGTCCAACAAACATATCAAGTTTAAAACTAGGACACTGATAACCTTGCCCCCAAGTCTCACAGTCTTCCCCCTCTCAATGGGGAATGCCCACACATTCTTCTAAGTGCTCAGGTCAAAAACTTCAGAGACATTCTTTATGCCCCCTACTCACACCCTATACCCAAATCCATCAGTAAATGTTAGTTCTACCTACAAAACATATTCATATTCCAGCCACTTCTACCAACTCCACTACTATTACTATGACTCTTGTCTAAACTACAATCATCTCTCACCAGGATTAATGTCTGCCTTACTAGTTTGCTTGTTTTCACCCTTGTTTCCCTTCAGTCTACTATAAACATAGTAGCCAGGCTAGGTCTTGTTAAAAATATAAACCAGATGTCATTTCTCTGTTCAAAACTCTACAATGACTTCCCATCCAAAAACTAAAGTCCTTAAAATAGACAAGATCCTGCTCTTCACCTCACTTACTGCTCTGACCTCCTCACTGTTCCCTGAACACACAGGTATTTTTCTACCTAGGGATTTATGTATTTACTGTTCCCTCTATCTAGAATGCTTACACCCAACTAGCCTCATGGTTCATTCTCTTACCCCCTTTTAATCTTTACCCTATCACATTCTTCAGAACATCCCACCTTAAATTGTAACCTATACCTCTCCTTTATATCATTAAAATACCAACTTCTAATAATTTAATATAATCTCAATGAAAATACCAACAGGGTTTGTTTTGAACAATATAGGCTGATTCTAAAGTCAATACAAAGAAAGAAATAATAACACCCAGAAAAATTCTGGAAAAGAACACCATGAAGAAATACTAGTCCTACTAGATATTAAAAATCTCAATATTTAAATCAATGTAGTACAGGCCAATGAACAGCCAATAAAACATAAAATCAAAAAGTAGGCCCAAATACACAGAGAAATTTAGTAAATGATAAAGAAAGCATTCTCTTATCAGTGCAGACAAGATAAATTTTTCGATAAATATTGTTAGGAAAAATAGGTAGCCACCTAGAAATAAAGTTGTAACCTTATGTCACATTATACACCAAGATAAACACCATATCATTCAAGATTTACAGTTTAAGAAAGAAACCAAAGCAATACTAGAAGAAAACATGGGTGAATCCCTTTAAAATCTTGAGGCAAGAAAATACTTTCTATTCATGACTCAAAATTTAGAAGCCATAAAAATAAAGATTGACAAATTCAACATCTGCATGAAAGAAAGAGAAAGCATTGAAAGCAAACAGAGGGAGGATTTCTGCATATAACAAGGCTAATTTCTCCCAAAATAAGAGAGGTCTTATAAATCAATAGACAAATTTTATGAACAAGCAATTCACATAAAAGTAAATACTAATGGCCCTTAAACAAAAAGTTAAAAATTTCACCAAGACATCATTTCCAACTTTCATAATACCAAAGATCCAAATGTCTCATTATACTCTACTGGCAAGGCTCTAGAAAAAGAAAAGTATTCTTAAACACTGTAATGGGAGTATATACTGGAATATCCCCCAGGAGAGCACTTTGGCAAAATCTAACATATACATTTGCTCTTTGACCCAGTAATCTCACTTCTGGGGATTTATTTAGTAGATATAACCACACATATGAAATGTTTTATCTACATGGTCATTCAATAGCAAGCAACTAAAAAATAACTCCAATTCATCAGTAGGGGATACGTTAAGTAAATCTTAATAATTCTGCAATGGAATGTTATACAGCTATAAAAATAACAGCACGAAGATTTCCAAAATATATTATCACCCTCTTTAAAGGACAAGGTACAGAATATAGTGTTGTCTGTGCTACTTTTCAGACTTGTACTTGAGTAGACTCTTTAAATATAGTAAGAAACAAATATAACTTGTTACTTATTTGTACTCAAGGCAGGGACAGAAGCTACTGGTAGAAAGTAAAAATGGTGAAAAAGTAGGGACCAGACTTTTTATGGTATACCTTTTATAGAGTTTTGTTGTTTTTAACAATGTATATGCTGTATCAATTCAAAACACACACACAAACCCACACACACAGAGGAGCTAGAGATACTACGCTACACAATTAACAATTATTCATTGTACTAGCATCTAAAGGACAAAGCCAGCTATAAGAGTTTGATACTGTTAAATGAAGATGTAACATATTCAAATAGTTTCACATTTAACTGTAAACAGTGTCCTATTTGTAGCATAGAACACTCATCTATAGTAAAAGGTTTCATTTCACCATTAATCTTACCTATGATATCCTTATTACTTTACCCTTTATATTAATCTTAGACATTCCCTAGACTTCTGAAATAACATGTCCATATACTTAAGTAATTCTCACTCAGCATGTTGACTAGTAACCTTCATTTAACCATTTCTCATTGTGCATCTTAATATTTGCAAATTATTTTCCCTATTGATAACTTATAAATTTTAAAGGTGAATCCCGTATGTTAACCAAAGGAAAAATACACTTTTAAAAAAAAGTGCTTCTCAAAGTTTAAAGAACACGCAAATCATCAAGGGAGTCTTGTTGAAAATGCACATTCTACCCATGGACATGGACAACAGAGTGGGAACTGACTGTGGGAGAGGGGGGCGGGGTGGGATGGGTGGAGGAGGGCAAAGGGGGAAAAACTGAGACAACTGTAATAGAATAAACATGATTTAAAAATAAAAAATAAAATACAAAAAAATGTACATTCTGATCCACTAGCCTGGGGTAAGACTCAAAGTGCCTCATTTGTGACCCTCCCAAGGGGAACTGATGCTACCAGCCTTCAAAACACACTGAGTAGTAAAGTTCTTACAAGACCACTGAAAAGTCTGTTTACTTGAGTCTTTCAATACTACCTGAAACAAGTCAACTAATGACCAGAACTGGAAAATTACTTTTTATAAAAATTCCCTGCCACAGTGGTCTTTCCCATTCTAACCTTAGAGATGCATTCTCTGCAAGCTATCTTTTGACTTTATCACTCCCTTTAAAAAAACTTTTCAGTGGTCCCCCAATGCCTTGGTTTGCATTAAAATTTTTAGTATTTAAAGTATTAACTAATTGAAGAGTACCCTCAGACAACTAGTCTTGTTAACACTATACATCTAATATCACTCCTTCTATCTACCCCACAAGGTTGTTCTAAGAAATAAAACAAACAAAAAGTATAAGAAAACACTTTGAAAAATATAAAGCACTATGTAATTAATTACAGGCTATTTCCCACAATGAAGTACAACAAAGAATGCTCTATCCATAAAGGTCTAGAAAATTCTTTGTGCCTCTATGGAAGGCACATATAATTTAGTACCTTAAAATGTTTTCTTCATAGAAGGCAATGAACTGTTTATAAAGAAGTAAACTAAGTTTGGTCCCTTTTGTATTACTTATTCCTTCTCATGTTTATGTTTACCAGCATCTGAATTGCCATTTTCTCTCTGTATAAAATGTTATAGGGGAGGAAAAAAAACTTATTTTTAGAGAAAATGACTTATTTTTTCAATTCTAAACACCATCCTCTGTTTTATCTGCGTATATTGAAATTGTTAATGAAGAAAAGTCAAAGACGTAAACATGCATTAGTCATCAGAGAAGTGCAAATCAAAACCTCATTGCGGTACCAGTTCACACCCACTAGGAAGGCTAGAATCAAAAAGTCAGATTACAAATGTCAGTAAGAATATGGAGCAATCTAAACCCTCGTACACTGTTGGCGGGAATGAAAAATGACACAGCCACTTTGGCAGACAGACTGATGTTTCCTCAAACTATTATCACATGACCCAGGAATGCCACTCCTAGAGAGAAATGAAAATATATATTCACACAACTACTTGTACACAAATGTTTAAAGCAGCATTCTTAATAGCCAAAATGTAGAAACAACCTAAGTGTCCATCAACAGATGAATAGACAAAATATATCCATTCAGTGAACTAGTATTCAGCAATAAAAAAGAATGAAGAACTGTTACACGCTACAACATGAATGAAAGTTTAAATACTGTGTGAAGAAACTAGTCACAACAAACCACATAGTGCATGATTTCTTTCATATGAAACCCCAGAATAGGGAAATTTAAAGACACAGAAAGTAGATTAGTGGTTCCTCAGGCCTGGTAGTGGGGCTGGCAGGAAATGAGGAGATATAGTACTAAGAAATAATGGTTATGGGACTTCTTATTAAGGTGATGAAAATATTCTAAAACTGACTTTGTTAACAGTTTTAGTATATCCACGAACATACTAAAAACCACTGAATTGTACACTTTAAATAGGTAAATTGTGTTGTGTATGAATTACATCTCAAAATTTTTAAAAAATAGGTTAACACATAAATAATGACAAAAACTGGCCATTCTACTACATAATCACAGTTAAGTGTTTTTTTAAAAAAGAAGAAAGTATATTTTAGTTGCTAAAGATAAATTGGTACTAACTTACTTTCTAGGCCAGAAACCTGAGAGATACCTTCAATCCTCCCTCGTCGATCATTCTCTAAAATCCAACTAATCACCAAGTCCCACTGACTCTCCCATCATAACTCTGAAGCGTCCACGTTTTACACCGCCATCCTTGGTCTGGGCTCTGGTTACTTCCTGTCTGCATTATCCCTGTTCTTACTATTTTCCTCTTTCAAATCCTCAAGCACTGTCAATTCCAATAAAACCCAATTAGAATTTTCTCAGTAACATTTGTAGAAGACTAATGTCCCCCATGTCTGGATTTCTCCCACCAGGACTCTGGAGTTTCCAATCTGCTCCCAACTCTGTTCCCCACCCAGCCTCCTCTCCTCACACCCCCCAAAGGAGAACACTTTAGTCAAGGCACAGCTATCTTCACGGCCCCTTGTATATTCTACATGCATTCACTGCCCTACCTTTTATTAGGCTATTCCACTCTAACTGCCTATTCTCCACACTTATCTATATCCTACAAATCATTTAAGACCTACTTCAAAGCCCCATATCACCCATGAAGGATTTGTGGAGAACTCCAACTGCAAATGATTTCTTGCATCTCCTCACCACTTTTAAGATATATTTATACGTGCCACATATCTTAGCAGTTGATTTACATGCCACTCATCTTAGCATCTGACTTACCTGTCACATATTTCAGCTTTTAATTTACCTACCACCTTATTGTATGAAATTCTATTATTCCATACAGAAAAATCTTGTTTCAATAAGACTGCCACCTCCTTGAGACAAGGACTATCACTTTTTTTTTTTAATCACTGAGACCACCAGAACAGTGTTACACCCAAAATACGCCCCCAAAGTGTGTACAATTAATTAGCTATTTCATGATTAATTTAACTGTGAACTAGAACTTACCATCATATGATCAATCACTTTACCTATTTTTCTACTATTAATGCAATTAATAAACCCAAAGTTTAAAATGGGAACACAGTACCTTGTCATATTGACACACAATCACATTATCCGTGTCAAATAGGTCTGGTACATCCTGCTCACTAACATCATCTCCAGAATTTAAAGGGTCCTAAAGGCAAAAGATGGTCACATTAAGGAATTTAATGATGTTTTGAATTTTTTAAAGATAGGCACATGTAAATAATGGAACTTGGAGAGACAGAATAGTAGTGTACTTAAAAGTCAAATAGCTTGAGCTTGAATCCCAGCTTGGCCACTTAATAACTGATCTTGGAAGAGTTATTAAACTCCTCCTAGCTCAGTTTTCTCATCTGAAAAAAATGAGGATAGTAGGAAGACCTGTAGGGCAGTGGAAATGTCAAATAATGTAAAGCAGTTAAAACTTAATCTGGTACCTGGAAACATATGTAAGGACATCATAAATAATAGCTAATACTACTTACATGCTTCTTAACTACCATATCCCATGAAGATCTTAGTACATTTATTAGGATTAGAGTAATACTATATGCCTCTACCCTGGCTGCCTTCTTTACTTCCACTGTCATACCCTAAGCTTCCCACAATCTCTAGTTAAGACCAACAAATATAGTAGCTGATTCCTAAATAATTAACACTGGTTTAAATTACAGTTTAATATTAAAAGTTTAAATCCTAGAGTACAAATAAGTCTCATTTTAACACTAAAGACAGTGTTAATCTTAGTTGTTATTCTTCTTGTTTCCAAAGTAAAGTACAAATGTTATAAATTTAATAAAGTTTCAGCTCAAAAGTAATCCTCACCTCTTCCACAATGTCTATTTGAGGGCCTTCATTATCACTGCTGTTAACAGTTGAATTTCCATTTGATATATTGTCGGCTTCTCCTTCAAGTACTTTCAGGTCTCCTCCATCAATAAGTCCTAAAAATTCATTCTCATCTACATCCCTTGTACTTCCTATTTCATCATTGGAAGATGTATCACCAGTTCCATCTATTTGAATTATTTCATTAATATCATCATCGGTTATTTGAATGCTTAAACCTGTCTCAGAATTATAATCCTAAAAAGAAAAAGAAATGCAATAAAGTTTTTCAAGTAAAACAATGTATATAAAACATTGAATCACATAAAATAAACATCTCACAAGTGGTAACTTAGAAGTGTTTCTTTCCTATAAGATCATGTTCCCTAATTTTAAATTTTAAGACACCCCTAGCATTTCTATGAAACAAAAATAATTTTAAGTTATAAAGTAAACCCACTTATAGTCATACATAGACAGCAAATGAGTTCACTACTTTAAGATAGTATTTACCAATGTTTATATATCTTAAATTTATATAGTACCTGTTAGGTTTTAACTATTTCATATTATTTTAAACAATAATTCAGTGAAATGGAAAAGGACAAGTGACATAATGCTCAATGGACAAATAAAAAATATAAAGAATTGTACTAACTGAAATAAGCAAAATACAAAAAGATAAATATAAATCAAAACTGATGTAACTGAAAAAGAAACAGACAAATCCAAAATTACAGTTGGAAAATTCAACATTCCTCTCAGTAATCAACAGAAAAAGTAGACTGAAAATCAGTAAGGATGTAGGACTGAACAAACCAATTAACCAACTTAACCTAATACTCCACCTCAAAATAGCCAAATTATATATTCTTTTAAAGAGCATACAGAAAATTCACCAAGAGGACCACATTCTGGGCCATAGAGCAAGCCTTGCCAAATTTAACATGCACAAAGTACATTCTCTGAGCACAAAGGAATTAAACCAGAAATCAGTAACAAAAAGATGTGAAAAATCCCCAAATATTTAAAAATTAAAAAATACATTCCTCAATTCCCATGCGTCAAAGAGTAATTCATAAGAAAATTAGAACAATTTTAATTGAATGCAAACAAAACATCTCAAAACTTGTGAGAAGCAGCTAAAACAGGGCCTAAAGGGAAATTTATAGCATTGAAGAACTGTATTAGGAGAAAAGCAAGTTACAAATCAATGGCCAAAATCCCACTTTAAGAAACTAGAAAGAGAAGACCAAATTAAGTTCATAGCAAACAGGGAGATAATGAAGATAAAAAGAAATAAAGGAAATTAAGAACAGAAAAAAAATAAAGTCAATTAGACTAAAAGCTAATTCTTTAAAAAAATTGATAAGCCTCTAGTCAGACTGACAAATAAAACAAGAAAAAAACAGATATTAGGAATTTTAAAAGCAGTGTTGCCAAAGATCCTGAAAAAAAGGATAAGGAGAAAAAAAAGACATGGCAAGGAATTGAGAGCATTTTGAAGAAAATAATGACTGAAAGCTTCGCTAACCTGGTGAAGGACATAGACATACAAGTCCAGGAAGCACAGAAAATAACAAGCATGATGAACCCAAAGAGGTCCACACAAAGATAATCATAATTAAAATACCAAAAGTTAAAGACAAAGAGAGAATCCTAAAAGCAGCAAGAGAAAAGCAGTTAGTTACATGCAAGGGAGCTCCCATATGCAAGGGAGTTGTCATTGTTAGCTGATTTCTCAACAGAAACTTTGTAAGCCAAAAGGGATTGGCACGAAATACTCAAATGATAAAAAGCAAGGACCTATGACCAAGATTACTCTTACCCAGCAAAGCTATCATTTAGAATTAAAGGACAGATAAAGAGCTTCCCAGAGGAGAAAATGCTAAAAGAATTCATCACCACCAAACTAGTATCATATAAAATGTTAAAGAACTTCTCAAAGATAAAAAGAGCAAATATATGAATAAAATGGCAAAAACTACATACCTATCAATAATTACTTTAAGTGTAAATGGATTAAATGTTCCAATCAAAAAACATAGGATGTATGAATGGATAAGAAAAAAAGAACCATACATATGCTGCCAAAAAGAGATCTAGTTGAGATCAAAAGACAGAGACTGAAAGTAAAAGAATGAGAAAGATAATATATGCATATGGAAACAAACAAAAGAGCCGAAGTAGTAATACTTACATTAGACAAAATAGACTTTAAAACAGAGGCTATATAGCAAGAGACAAAGAAGGACCCAGCAATTCCACTTCTGGATATTTTATGTAGAGAAACCCAAAACACTAATTCAAAAAGACACATTCATCCTTATGTTCATTGCAGCATTATTTACAATACCCAAGATATGTAAGCATCCTAAGTGTCCATCAATAGATGAATGGATAACAAAGAGGTAGTTCACATATACAATGGAATATTACACAGCCATAAAAAAGAGTGAAATCTTGCCATTTGTGACAACATGGATGAACCTGGAGAGTATTATGCTAGGTGAAACAGACAAAGACATATACCGTATGATTTCATGTATATATTGAATCTAAAAAAATGAAAAAACAAAACAGAAACAAACTCATATATAGAGAGAATAAATTGGTGGTCTCTAGGTAGGAAGGTGGCTGGGGAGATGGATGCAAAAGGGGAAGTGATTAAGGTGTGCAAATTACCAGTTATAAAACCAGTACAGTTATATTAATCTAATCACTGTTGTATACCTAAAACTAATATAATATTGAATGTTAACTATAATTTAAAAACAAAAAAATTATATATATTTTAGTTATTATTTTTAATAAGTATAAATACTTTTATATTTATATGTAAAATATTTTTATATATAAATTTATACATATATAAATATATATGGTCTGTCCAGAAAGTATCCAGCCATGCACTATGAAAAATAGAGACATTTATTGAAGAAGACACAAGATACAGGAAACACCGTATATAGGACAACGACATCTGAGTCCCCTTCAAAGTAGGCACCCTGGGACCTCACACAGTTCTCCCAATTGCCATCAGGTGCCCCCATCATACTTTCTTGAATCTCACCAACAGTATGAAATCTCTTCTCTTTCAAAGGTGATTTTAGTTTTGGGAAAAGCCAGAAGTTGCAGGGTGCCAAATCTGGGCTATAGTGGGGCTGAGTCACCTGGGTGATTTGATGTTTCACTAAAAAACTCTGCATGAGACATCATGCATGAACAAGTGTGTTGTCGTGATGAGGCTGCCAATCACCACTTGCCCTTAGCTGCGTCCTTCTGAATCATCCAAATAGTTTCCACAGAGGAATGTTAAAGCGTAATGAAAAATTTGATGCAGATTTGCTCTGCTCATTCAGCCATTTTTAATGTGACAGCCACACAGTACACATGCTCACCTAATGGCATCTACCACCCCCACTAACTAATACAGTGAAGTCGTCATTGTTCACACATGCACATTCCAGTCCACTCTCCTTGGCTGCAAGGTTATGTCAATGTTGGGCAAACTGTTCACATTATATTAACAATGGTTGGACTTTTTCCAGATATCCAATTAACTGAATTCTGAATTCAAATAACTATTGATATGATATTTCACCTTTTAGAGGAATAATAGAATGGATTTAAAGGAAAAATAAAAAATATTATTTGAAGTTATATAGTCTCTCATCCCCTCTATCCATTTCTCATCATATATTGATTTTGAGATAGATAAGTGGTTCTTAATCTTAGTTAGAGACTACAATCACTTCAGAAACCTCTGAAACACTGATGAGTGGAATCCCCTCAAGACCAATTAAATCTAAATCCCTTGGGGGAGACCTGAACATACTTTTTTAATGTCTCGATGATTCTAACATTTAGCTAGGATTGAGAAGTACTGAGCAAAATAAAGAACCATAAATCCTGTTCTTTAAAAGCTTATATTCTAGCATACATTAATGTGTATATATTCTTAAGCACTAGATACACCTATTAATAAAATGTACCTCTCAATGCAAACAGGACATTTTAGTGTATATCCTTTACTGCATAATAACAGATACATGCTTAAGCTGCTGTAACAACATAGAAAAGATGCATCCAATCTAATAATGAAGGGAGAGGGATAGATATTAAAGTAAGATTTCTGGAGGAAGTAATAAATGGCTAAATAGGAATTGACCAAAGGAAAGGATGGCAAGAAGAAAATCCAGGCACCAAGCACAGAGAATAATGAAAGCAAAAACAGAGGCAGGAAACAAGGTTAACACAGAGATTCACTTATAGTTGGTTTGGTGTTCCCAGTAAAGTAGTAGGCATGAAATAAAGGAAGAGTAAATAAACTCTGGCTGAGGAAGAACACAGAAGTCCTTGCACGCCACGTGAAGGAGCTTAAGCTTTATCCTGCAGGTGATGGGTAGTCAGTGATGTATTAAGCAGGCTGCTTTTGGGGGTAACTCTCTGCTAGCCATGAGGAACAGAGACTAATAGATAACGTTCACTGAGCACTTACCATGTGCTAGGCAGTACGCTGCTGAGCATTTCACACTGATTACCTCATGCAGTCCTCCCATCACCACAACTCTATGGTAGATACTATGATCTTTCTTTTACAAATAAGGAAATAGTAACTTGCCCAAGTCACATAGTTATTAAGGGATAAAGAAGGGATTTAAAGTAATTCTGATTTCTGAAGCTTAACCTCTAGGATGGATGGACGGGGCAAGAGTGGAATGAGAACAGCAAAGACGATAGGCTAGTAACGTAGGAAACTATTACGTTATCCCACATGAGAAAATTCTTTCAATGACAGTAGGTATGAAGAGGGACCAGATTCCAGAAACTTTTAGTTTTACAAGTTATAAAAATCACATGAATCAGCCTTAAAAAGGCATTAAATTCTTACACATGCTACGACATGGAAGAATCTTAAAAATATTATGCTAAGTAAAATAAGCCAGTCACAAAAGGGCAAATATTGTATGCTTCCACTTATCGGATACCTGGAAAAGCCAGAGTCATAGAGATAGAAGTGGAACAGAAGATTCCAGGGGCTGAATGGACGGGGTAATGGTGCGTGACTGTTTAATGTGTATAACATTTCCATTTAAAATGAAAAAGTTCTGGAGATGGATAGTGGTGATGGCTGTACAACAATGTGAATGTCCTCAATGTTGTACACCCCAAAAAAGTACTGCGCTGTACACCTAAAATGGTTAAAATGATAAACTTCGTGTTATATATAGTTTCCAACATTTAAAAAAAGTTGTTAAAAAGCACATGATATAAGGAAAACAAGGAGAAAAAGGAGACAAAAGGTAACTGTAGTCTTTAGCTTGGGACAGCAGGTGGGCAGCGGTACCATGCAGTGTCTCTCATGAGGAACAATGAATTACTGTGACATTCTGGTAGATCTGTCTAGAAAGCAGATATGAGAATGAAACTCACAGCAGTAATGGGTTGAAAGTGTAGTATTCAACAAATAGGTGGTAGTTAAAACTATAATAATGCATGAGATTACCCAGGGAAAACCGGAAGACTATAAATGAGCTGAGGATAGAATCTTAAGAAACAGGAGGGGCAGATAATAGGAGGAGCTCATGAAGAAGCTATAAGAATACAGTCAAAAAGGCAAAGAATTAAGATAAGGCATCAAAATGACAATATTTGAAGTTGGGGCAATGAGAATGGTCCAGGAGGGCAGGCAAGAGATAAAGAAGAGTTAAAGAAGAATACCTATTTCCCTCCGATTTTATGGAGTTCTAATAAAGACCTGACTTTCTAGTTCTCTGTGGTATTTTAAGACTGGAAAACAAAATTCCTACAATGAGGAAAAACTAAACATAGTAACATAGACTTTAAAATAGGAGCACATCAAAAATTGTCAGGAATATATTTTATGAAACAGTAAGAAGGTTTCATTGAAACACTTACATAGAAACTTCAGATTTGTGGTAGTCTACACAGAAGTAAACAATTATAGCTAATTGTAACTTGCATTAAGCAATAAGACTTTCTGGAAAGCTACTTATAAAAAAAGAAAAGCTACTTATAAATTTTGAAAATTATATCAGTACAAACTTTTCCAGATTAAGAGCCATTTTAAAGATATCTTACAGTAAATTAATTTTAAAAATTGATAAAATAAATTTTGAATGTTTGTATTATGTTTTAAATATAGATCTATTTTTATTCTGACAAGTTACATAAAAAGTTACCCATTATATCACATGCCCATAAAGCATAACAGCACTACTATAAAGCTTATTATGGCACCAGAAGCTATTAAAAGCTCTATACACATCATCTCTGATAATTCTAAAAAAAAAAAAAAAAAAAAAAAAGTTGGTTTTAAGCCCAGTTTACAAAAGATAATTTCAGAATTCAGAGAGTAACATTATATTGCTTGCTTGTAAGTGATGAATCTGGAATTTGAACCTATTATGGCTCCAAAGCTTACACTCCCAGCCACTAGCCCCTAAACAATCCTTGATTAATCTCTCTTAACTAATCTATTTCCCGATATCAGAACAGAGTACAAGGTGACATCTAATAAACAGCTGAATGAGTCCTGGAATCCTCTCACAGAAAATCTGCAAAGTTCATACAGAGTCCTGGAGAAAAATAACCAAAAATTCTAAGTGATGAAAACAAATACTTATTTTAAATGTACAGTTATTTTACCTCAAAACCAAATGCTTCATAATTATTTTAGCCTACATTTCTTAGATTTCATGTATTATATGAAAGCTATAAGAGTACTCGAAAACCACTTTAGTCTTAATACTTTATACCAAAATTAAACTAGAAACAAACATGCTAAAAGATTTTGAACAGGCTTCATCAAACATCTGAAACATTCTAAAGCAGGTCAAATAGGTTCTTATAGTCTTTTTCTTTGTTGGTTATCCTTCAGTGTACCTCACAGGCTTCTCCTGCTATCTATGAACATGGTAAGGTGGCACTTAACTATCCATTGCTACAAACTTGAGCAGCAGTTCTCCGGAGGACCACTAAACCGTTAGCTCGAGACACAGACCTTTCCTTATTTGCCAGGTCACTAAAAAGTGGATAAATGGAGTTAACTGTGAGGCATACTTTACATTTGGAAAAAGATAACATGAGATTTTCTATTTTACCATCCAAAATTCCCCATAAATCTTTCTGCCATCACTATGAATTCCTTGGAAATTAATAATTAAAACCTACTTTCAGTATGGAAAGTTAATTAGAAACTGTTTTTTAGTAGTATGAATTCCAAAAGAAATTATGTTAACTAGTATTTTAGCAAACAGGGAGGAACAAAATATCTATTAGAAGAAAATTCGTTGTGTAGAGCAAACTTTCATAGAGGAGTTTACGAAAATTAGGTAGAGCAAGAAAAAAAATACTTTGGCCCTCTTTTGTATATTAAATATAACAATGAATTTACCTCAAAATATTCATTTAATTACTAGTATGGATTTCTGGGTCTTTTAAATTTTATCTGCAGACAAAAATAATTCTCAAAACGTTACGGAGAGGTAAAATGGATTACCTTAAAGCAAATGCATTTTCTTTAAAGAAATATTCTAATTCATTAATTGAAATTAAAAGTTTAGAAATGCTGAGCATGAATACTTTAAAAACTGATAGTTATACTAAAAACAACTAAAAACAATCTTCTAAAGGAAAAAACAAAACATATACTTCTAAGTAACCTTACAGCTTAAAAAACTCAGAATATCTTATTACTGGCCATTGTTTATGCCTAATACCTTCTCTGAGACAGGTAGTCGGCTGGGCTCCTGTGTATTTCTTGGCTGCTTTACATAATCACATCCAAACACCCTATTTTGAAGAAAACGAAGTTGAACATCAGACTCGTGCTGGTGCTGAGCCCCGCGAGGGCCCGTGGAGATAGGTCCACCATGTAGCTTTTGAGTTGTGCTAGCTGAAACACGGAGCAAAGGCTCCATGTTAGCATCTCTTTGAGAGACCTGTGGAGGAAATACAACACCTGGAAGGCTGATATACTGAGAGCTCTCTGGCTGACTCAGCAAAGCTTCAGACATGATTTTATGCTTATTTCCAGGAGGCACAAATGTATCACCGGTGGCATTTTCTAAATGCTTCCTACCCACTGTCCCAGAATGAAGAACTGTGGATGGTTGGAACACAGTTTCCATTCCCTGTGATTTTTCAATAGATGCCTGAGGAGAACATGGGTTCAATCGTGGAACACTGGTTTGTATTACTGAAGGCTGCCCAAGCTGCTGAAACACTTGCTGAATTGGATGCTGAAGGATACTTGCTCTTCCAGAAGTCTGTGTCACCATAATTGGTACATTGACTTTATAAAGGTGACCTTAAAAACAAGAAATCAAACTGTAAGAACAATATAATCCCAATTTCCTTTAAAATAAAATCTCATGTGCAATACGCTCAGAGGAAATATATCAATGTTTTATTAGTGGTTATCTCTAGGAGATATTTTCTTCTAGTCTTCCGATTTTTTTGTATTTTCTAAAATAAATATTATTCATTTTCAAAAATTAAAAATTAAATGTCTTGCTTTAACTCTAGCCTTTGCCCAATATTGCTTATATGGCACATTTTGAGATACATATAGGCCATTAATATTTACTTCATAAATCTCTCACATTGTTTGATAAATTACAGTGTTACCAACCTAAATTTGGGATTTTAACAAACATAAAGGAGAATATATTCCATATATTTAAGATATAAGATACTATATAGCAACTATAATACAAAGCTTTCAAAAAAAGATTTTACTATAACTAATTTCAAAAGCTATCAAATTTTTCCACCTCTCCTTTAAAATAACACCAAAAAGACAAAATTTTTTTGAGCATTGTGTTAACTGCTTTGCTTAAACTTAGCAACAACCCAAAGAATAGATATAATTCTCTTTCAAATTAAGAAAAAGTACTCTGACAATAACCCTGCCCCGAGGAGGGACTCCACCACACCCTGAGCTATCTAAGGCACCCTGCTGAGTGCAGAGTGACTAGATTAACCACTGAAGGAGACAGCCACAGATTACTGGAAGTCTAGGGCTGCCTAAGGTCAGAGAGGGACAATATCTGACATCATCAAAGGCAGATCCAGAAAGTAAAAACAGCGGTCTCCTACCATAGAGGTTCACACCACAAAGTGAGGAAATCAAGACAGATCAACTTAAGAAGCAGAAGCCAAAAAGAAGAGTCTCACAAATAATGGGAAGACAAAGAAATACCCGCTAGTCGAAGGGAAAGGAGGAATCCCCAGTAAGAGAACTAAATGAAATAGAGGCAAATAAACTATAAGATACTGAGTTCCAAACAACGGTTCTAAGAAAGCTCAATGAGCTCAGTGAGCTCAGAGAGAATTACAAAAAACTACAGGGAAACTATGAGGAACTTACCTCATGGTGATGCAAACTATATCACCATGAAAAAGGACATTGAAACTATCAATAAGACACAAGAGGAAATGAAGAATACAATTTCTGAATTGAAGAACACAGTGGAAGGAATCAAAAGCAGGCTAGAGGAAGCTGAGGACCGAATCAGTGAGCTGGAGGACAAGGTAGAAAAAAGCTCCCAGAAAGAGCAAGAAAATGAAAAAAAACTCAAAAAGAATGAAGAGGCATTTAGAGAAATGCAGGAAAACCTGAAACGTAATAATATCCAGATAATAGGGATAACAGAAGGAGAAGAGGATGAGGAAGGGATAGAGAAACTGTTTGAAAAAGTAATGATGGAAAACTTTTCTAATTGGAGGAGAGAAAAAGTCACACAAGTCCAGGAAGCACAGAGGGTTCCATTCAAGAGGAGCCCAAAGAGGCCCACTACAAGACACATCATCATTAAAATGGCAAATATCAAAGACAAACAGAGAATCCTATAGGAAGCAAGGGAGAAAGAGGTAGTAACATAAAAGGGAGCCCCGATATGGCTAACAGCTGACTTTGCAACAGAAACACTGCAAGCCAGAAGGGAGGGGCAAGAAATATTCCAAGTAATGAAAAGCAAAGGCCTGCAACCAAGACTGCTCTACCCAGCAAGGCTCTCAATTAAAATGGAAGGCAAAATAAGGAGTTTCCCAGACAAAAGAAGGCTTAAAGAATATACTTCCACCAAACCAGCACTGCAAAATAGGGACCGCTTTAAGAAGTTGAAGGAAAAGAGTCTATGACCACCAGTTCCTTTCACAGTTGCCAATACTTGATATGACCAATATTTTTTAATACTTAGTAATCTGATTATGACAATGATGTGTTATTTTAATTACTCCTTTATTATTTGTTGAAAATGAACCTGTTTTGTATATTTCTTGCCTATTTCTATTATTTTTAAGAAGATTTAAATGACTTTTTGGTATTCTTTATCCATTTTTTAATTAAATGTTTGTAGAATTTCTTTCCCTAAAAAAACAAAAACCATTAACCCTTTTTTAGATGTGTTGCAAATACTTTCCTATTCTATTACTTGTCCTTTTAACTTTTTTTGTATATTACTGTATAGTCTTAAATGTTTAATATAGTCATACTGTCAATATTTTGCTTTATAGCTTCTGGGTTTGAATATGTTACTTCAGAGTAAGAAAAATATTAGTTTGTATTTTCTCCTAAAACTCCTTAGATTCTACATATTGATTTTTCACTCGCCTGAATATTTCTTGTATAAGGTGTGAAATAGGGCTCTATATTTGTTTTATTTCAAGTAATAGTGATCTATGCATCTTATTTGTTGAATAAGCCTTATTTTATCCATTGATTTGAAATATCAACTTAATCACATATTATATTGTTAGACAGATATATACATTTGTCTCTAGAATGCTCATTATATTTCACTGATCTACTTGATTATTTCTGTGCTGGTGTCATATTGGTTTAATTGCTGAGACTTTATAATGGTTTTAAATTTTTTAATATTATATAATTAACTGACATTAAAAAAATAAATAAAATCATTCTGCATGAAAGAAGAAAGAAAAGAAAGAAAGAAAAAAGAAAGAAAGAAAGAAAGAAAGAAAGAAAGAAAGAAAGAAAGAAAGAAAAAGAAAGAAAGAGGTGGAACTCCTACCTTTTGTGACAATATAGATGGAACTGGAGAATATTAAGCTAAGTGAAATAAACCAGTTGATGAAAGACAAATACCATATGATCTCACCTATAAGTGGACTCTATTCAACAAAATAAACTATTGAACAAAATAAACCACAGGCACGGAAACATGAAGCAGACTAAAATTGACCAGAGGGGATGGGGAAAGAGGACAATGGTCGAAAGAAGGGGAAGGGGCTGGACAAAGAACATGTATGAATGACCCATGGACATGGACAACAGAGTGGAAATTGACTGTGGGAGCGGGGGGTTGGGGTGGGATGGGTGGAGGGGGGTAAAGGGGAAAAAATAGAGACAACTGTAATAGAATTTATATTTGATTCAAATAATCTCATTTTGATTTATAAATTAAAATAACAAAAAATAATAAAGTGGAAAAAATATTTTTAAAAAAGTACTCTGAAAAGCAAAAGTTGGTTAATCTCTAAACATTTTGGATATTCTGTTATGCCATACAATCTCCAATAAGAAAGGAGACCAAAGTTGATCAATCTACTCTTTAGTTTTTCTTGATTAGAGCTAGCAGGGACACAGACGTGTTAATTCGTATTCATCAAAATTTAGACAATTGAGTTGAATTAGAGTAAACATATATACAAAGTATCTTATACAGTGTTGGGAAAGAATTGAGAATAAAATACAAGACCAGCCTAGTACATTGTTTTTCATGGTAGACTGCCTCCATAACAATAATAACCACCATTTATCATTATTTTTAAAATAAGTTTTATTAAAAGTTCTGATAACTTCTGGTATGAAGTTTATTAAAAATCATAAAAACTAACACCCAGAAGTCAATGACAATGCTAAAAACAACATTTTTAGACTATATTCTTACCAGATGCAGTCTGTAATGTCACACCTGCTGGTACATGAATAGGATAACCAGGAAAAGCAAAGTTTGCACTGGAGTTTGAGGTGCTCTACATATGAAAAATTTATATTAGAAAGTTAGAAAAGGGCTTTACTTGTATCTTTTTTTCCCCTGATACCAGAGAGGGTCAAAAGATCTAATTAAGGACAATAGTTTGACAACACATAACATTAGAGTTCTTTGAATTAAACAGCCTTTTTATATTTGATTCAAATAATCTCATTTTGATAAAAGTAATTCCATTCTATGGATATTAGCAATTAATCCACTAGGTCTTAACAGTATGAACAGTGACTCATACAACTTGCCCACTACCTAGCCCTGCCTGGGCCATGGATTTTCAAGATGCCAAATATAAGAAACACAGTGGTTATAGGAGTCCTATAGTCTTTAAGTTGATCACTAATTTTAAATTTTAAGTTGATCACTGTATTTTAAAGTGGATAATACAATAGTGTATAATTTTATTTTGAAATAATTAAAAAAAAATTTAAAACCCAAAGGTTTAAACACTAAATCAAAAGACAAACATTTTTGCCTATCAGACCTACAAAAATTTAGAAGATCGATGAGTTACACTCAATGTTGGTAAGGATGTGATAAAAATCAATTCTCTCTGACACTGCTTGTATATGTATATGATACAATTCTCCTGGAGAACAGTTTTGCAATTTATATCAAATTTCAATATATACTATGCATGATCTTTGTCCCAGAAATACTACTGCTAGAAATTTATCCTGATCGCCACACAAATACACAAAGACATATATACAGGTATAATCAATGGAATGTTATATTTTAAAAAACTAGAACTAATTTAAATGTCCATCAAGATTGGTTAATTAAACTGTGATAGATCTACTAAGGCTAATCAATATTTAACTGGCATTGAAAAGAATCCTTCTAATTTTATTAATTTTGAAAAAATAAATAACAGAAACAATACAGAGAATGATCTTACTTTTACTCTGAAAATTAATACTACTTTCATGCAGGAAATTTAGATGGGTATACAGTAATTACAACAGTTATCTTTGAGGTATAATACTGCATGGTCTTTTCACCTCTTACTTTATAGATGTTTTTACTTTTTAGAAGTATATTATTTCTTTAATCAGAAGAAAACTTATTTCCAAGAATTTCAAAAACAGATATTTCTCCATTGGTCTCCTATCAAAAGCAGCACCATTCTTCCCAAAAATCCTGGAAGGACTATGGTTATTGGTTGAAATGGAAAGAAATAGCCCACTAAACCTTTTATTCTAGAAAGGTAGTTTATGGGCTGAAAGAGAATGAAAAACAATGGATTATATACCATCGGTACTATGGAAGAAAGGCAAAAGAGAAAAAGTGCTATTTTCCTCACCAAAAACTACTGTTTTCTACATATAAGTTTTAATTTTTTTTTGCCCCCAAATCCTATGTATGGGGAATCTGTACTTTAACCTCTACCACACAAAAGTAAAAAATGACCAAAATATTCTACTTACATAAAAGGAATAATTATGCTGTGGCTTAACTTTGGGGAACATATAAATGGAAAAAAATACTATATCAAAATTACCTACTTAGAATCTACTAAATATATAACATTATACAGTGCATTAAAACTCTATACAATGTAGCTTCAAAGATTTTATAGTCATAGGTACAGTCTTGGCAGGTGCTAACAATTGCTCTGGAAGATAGACTAAGTTGGTAAGAAAATGTCAATTCTGGAACTCCTGAGTTTTTGCAAGATCAATATCACAGAAGCCATTCCTGTTTATTCTTTGTTACCACATCTTTCCTATTCAACTGGAGAATTAGAAATTACATTTATGCCCACCCTTCTGCTACCATTCACTAAAAGTGGGGAATATCTTTTAAAATATATCTTAAATAAGCTACATACCAGTTCTGCTGTGGTAAAACTGGGAAGAGTTCTTCCAGCAGGAATAACTAACGATGCTGCATAGAAAACAAAATAATTATACAATTCATTAGAATTTACCAATTGAATAAAATTCGTAAGTATAGCTTATTTTTAAATCTGGTTTCCATCACTAACATGTTTGACCATGGTGAATTCTAAACTGCCTGATCCCAAGAGAGGGAAAAGTATTTAACTAGATTTTTTTTCTCCCAACAACTTGAAAGAATTTACAACTAACCTACTTTAAATACCAAAAGAAAATATTTCATTGTAAAAATATATACTGTATTATAGAAGTCCATAATAAATATCTAGATTATCTTTAGTAAGTCAATGTAGCACTAAATCTCCATTACATTTCACAGGGAGAAAAGGTAGTATTTGCTAAAGTGCGTATTTTCAAAAGACTATACTATTGAGCAAAAATATATAACCCAACTTAAATCCTTCTAAATTTTATATGTTCAAAATAAATTTCAATTCATTCATTTTATGAAAAATTATTCACAGTAGTTTAGTCAAGTAATGTAAGCACAACTACATAGTTTTAGAAATCAATAAATATGTCTCCTGACATCCTGGTCAGTGTGGCCCAGCATAAGCCCACAAACCAAAGGGTTGTGGGTTTGATTCCCAGTCAGGGCACCTGCCTGGGTTGTAGGTTCAGTCCCTAGTCTGGGTGTGAACAGAAGGCAATCGATTGATGTTTCTCTCTCAAATCAATGTTTACTCCCTCCTCTCCACTCTCTCTAAAATCGATAAGCATGTACTTGGGTATATATCTCCATCCTGAACTCTTTGCATACAACAGGTACGACTGCTTAGAAAAAATATAAGAACAAATTCTTAAGAGAACACCAACTCAACCTGTATTCAAGCTGCAATCTCGTATCTTTCCTTTAGTATCTACCAATTTTCTGTGCTAACCATCCTTTCATTTATGATATATCTAAAAGGCTGGTCAAATAATTGTAAGCATTATCATAAAAAAAAAGTCAGTCTAAAAAAAGCAAATAGTAAGTCCAGTAGAAGTATCAGTTTATCAATGTAACCTTAAACCTTACCTCAAAATTCATTTTACCTAGCAGAACATGACTATTAGACTATCATTTTGCCTTTCTTTAATAAAGCAAGAATGTTTAGCATGTTCATACAGCACAAAGGTATTAAATATAATGTTTATTATGGTTTTTTTCACATATGAAATCAAGGAATATTGTGCCAAGGATCTGTGTCTGACACTAGAATGGTTCCATCATATACAACAGCTCAGAAAAACAAATGTTTTTTAAACCATTCTTCCCACATTAAAACAAGAGAAGTCAGGCTACATAGATTGATGGTTAATGAAGCACAAAATTATTTTTTATCCTCTGTTCATCTATGCCTTTGCTTATTAACAGGCATTCTTTTCGAAAGGCTAAATTAGAAAGAATTGCAGTGGTAGGAACACAATAGTATTAGTCTTAATTAGCTGAAGTGAGCAAAGCTTAAGCTGGTAAAGCTTAAGCCATAGCCTGAGAAAAAACAAAAATGTGTTAACACACTGTCTGAAGCAATTAAATGAATTTGTTGAGGAAAAACAGCAACAATGCTCCTCTTTTAAAGACCATGCAATAAATCCTAAAGGATAATTCCCTATAGTTATATAAATCAAACAGAGCTGTAAGAGTTTTAAGAGTTTCTTTATGGCCATCAAAACAAAAGCATAAACTAACAGAATTTTATAGTGAAGTTTCATGCAACTCCTACTCAAGTTTGATACCAAATTCACAAGTTATATGCACCATTTATATATGTTAACAAATATATATATATTCCTGAAACATATTTTTTATTATTTTTTTATTTATTGATTTTAGAGAGAGAAAGGAAGGAGGGGAGAGAGAGAGAGAAACATCAATAGGTTTCACTTATTTATACATTCATGGGTTACTTCTTGTAGGTGCTCTGACAGAGATCGAACCCGCAACCTTGGTATATCAATGACACTCTACCTAACTGAGCTACCTGGCCAGGCCCCTTAAAAACAGTGTTTAAAATATTCAAGATGGTTTCATTAACTTAATTAAGTTTTAACTAAATACATGTTTTTACATAAACAAAGTGCCAGAATTCTGGTCTTCATGTATATACTCTAAAACATTAAATTTCTCACACACACACACACACACACACACACACACACACACACACACAAAATAGGCTTTAGAAAGAATTCAATCCCATAGTTGTTCTAAAAAAAAATTAAGTTTTAGGGTAGATTATAAATTATATATATAATCACCCTAAAAATAGAGTTCTCAAAGTGTAGTGTGCAAACCCTGGGGGTCCCTGAGACCCTTTCAAGATGTTCACAAGGTCAAAATTATTTCTTATAATACCAAGACAATGTAGGCTTTTTTCATTTATCATTAAATATCTTTATTGATATTTGCACTGATGGCACAAAACAATGATGAGTGAAACTGAAGTCATCTTAGCTCAAATTAAGGCAGTATAAACCTTAATAGTGGTCGCTGTATTTATTCTCCATTGCCACTCATTCACAGTAAAGAGGAAGGAAAGAAGGGAGGGAGGGGGAAGGAAACAGCAGCAACAAGACTTTCGCTTAAGAAGTTCCTTAATGTAACCACAAAGAATTATTTTTACTAAATTTCAACTCTCAAGTGTACTTCCTTTTAACATCCTGTGATAAAATGGGAAGAACACACAAAGCAAAGTAGTACATGTACAAGGAAGTATGAGGAGTTGGCACTACTGTTTAAGTTGGGAGCTGACCTAGCCTCTTTTTTCAAGAAATACTATTTTTACTTTAAAGAATAACTGACAGAAACTATAGTTATTCAGACTTAAGTATTTGGCAGACATTTTTTTAGAAGAACTAAGTGTACCCACCACTCCAAGGAAAGCAAACTGATAATATTTGTTTGGCAATGATAAAATTCAAGTTTTCAAGCAAAAATTAAAAATTTGGAAACTTTATATCCAGCACAGTGGGTTTGATGGCTTTCTAATGTTTTTCTGATAAGATATGTGGTGATATTAACAAATATGATTTTTTTAACCTTATTTAACGAACAGTATGTAAACTGCATAACTCAGTGACCCAATATTTCCAAATAACCAACATATGTTACAAAATTACAGAGGGGTTAAAGAATCATTCAAAGTGCAAGAAACACTAGTTAAACTTTAACATTACAAAAAGTCCATTGTGTGGTTTCAGATTTCACCTTGCACTACCTCTCAGAAACTACCACTTGTTGAGTTTTAGTGTAATATTAAATTACCTGAAAATGCTATTAAAATACTCCTACTTTTACAATTATCTATCTGTGGGAGGCCAAATATTCTTCATATACTTTAGTCAAAACCACATAGCACAACAGATTGAATCTAAAAATAGATGAGAATCCAGTTGTCTTTTACTAAGCCAGACATGAAAAAAATTTGCAGAAAAAGAATGCAATGCCGCTTATCTCAGAAAATTTGTTCCAGAGAATAGTTTTAAGATATATTTTAACTTCTTTTTAACAAATATATGCCATTATGTTACCATATAGTCATTTTTTTAAATTACACCATTTTTTAATTTCTAATATAATAAGTAGAGACTTAAAACCCACATAAAATAAAGCATTTTGAGGTCCTCAATTTTTAAGAGTCTAAAGGGGTCCTGAGACCAAAAAAAGTTGACAACCAAGATACAAGAAGTTATTAAATAAATAAATACAGCCTAAAACTATAATAGGGCAAACAAGTTTTAAGTCTGTGAGACAGACAAAGACTTATTCCATTGTAGAGTGAATCTGAATTTGTTATTAAGAGATAAAAATGTTGCAGAAGTTAGTTTAGGTTATTTTAATCAAGCTTTTAAAAGTATCCAATGAAGTACATCAATTTTATGATGCTATTTGCTTTAGGAATCTTATTTTAGGGTACCTAGAAATGAAGAGGAATAAGAATAAGGCCTAAAATGCATTTTTAAAGCATATATATACTTTCTCTTAAACCACTTCATTATAAATGATGTAGAAGAGAATGAGAAAACTGTCTTATTTAAATGTAATTGTATCTATTATTCTAACTTCTAAGACAGAATAATAAAAGTGCTGAGTGAAGGCCAACTAGATATATTAGTTGCAAGAGTATTTTGTGGTTTAAATCACTGGGAATATTACCATCTTGCGGCAAAATCAAGTACTGCAATTTTGAATGACAACCTGAAAAGTGTTAAGTCTGCTTTTTATAAAACACAGTCAAATATTTTACCCTCTCACACTTGCCACCCTCCAAGCCATTCCTAAGTAAAAACCTTTCAAGTTCTTTAATAAAGAAAAAATTCAAAAGAATGTTATTTAAACAGAGAAATAAAAGGGATATCCTAATAGAAAAATGAAAAATGAAATCAGCCAAAAATCCAAAAACTGATGGAAAATGTTTCGACGTATCAACATAGTAATTAAAACTGCCATGGTTAATTCTTATAGAGCAGAGTTATACTTTACAAGCATAGCATTAGACAAAAACTGTGCTTTGTAATTCAATACTCATTGTTAATTTATTTCATTTTTATGTTATAATTGCTGCCCCACTTAAATTCTCTCATTTTGTAATAAATGACGTACTAGCCTCCTATTTTTCTCTTCACCTTGGTCCATGTGATTTTCATGTGAATGTTCCCAAATATGCAATGGACAACCTAGTTATTTCTGACAATCTAATCCAAAATCTACCCTCACTTCTTGCAAACGTTAATCTTCTGAATTTCAGCTGAGCTCAATAAAACCTATTTGTGTGTGACTGTGTATGTGTCTGTGTGTAGATATAGCTATGTGTGTGTGTGTATACACATATGTATTATATACATGCATACGTGTATATATGTATGAATGTGGATATGTGTATATACACACATGTATGTCTACACACAGACATGCACATGCAGACACACACAAAATGGAGAGTCATCAAGAGTATGAAGATTATTCAGACTACCTCACTCTTGGATTTATACAATGATGGCTAGTAACACACACACACACACACACACACACACACACACAAACACACAGATTAGGGTAGCATAAAGATTATAAGAATCAGAGGAGAAAAGAAGGAATAAAGGCCAGAAAGATAACAGTCCAGTTTTATCATTCGTTAGTTACTCTTTTTCACTTTAAATTGATATACATGATGTAGACAAATACGAAGGGAAGCCCCCAAAACAAGAATTTATAAAAAATCGTGTATTTATTTTTACATGTATAAACTTCAGTTACCTTCAAAATACTCTTCATTTGATGCAACACAACTATCAAGATGTTTTTTTCCACTGCTCAAAACAGTGTTTGAACTGGTGGATTTTGATGCCTTTGAGTGCTACTGCTATTTTTCATTTCACCTCTTCCACATCAGCAAAATGTTTCCCTTCGAGGACTTTTTTCATCAGGGAAATAAAAAAGTCACTCTGGGTGAGATCAGGTGAATAGGGAGGGTGAGGTACAGAGATCATGCCGTTTTTGATCAAAAACTGCTGAACACTCAGTGCATTATGGGCAGGTACACTCCTAAATCACCTATCACAAAATAGGCTAACCCTCTGAGTCTTTAAAAAAAAAAAAAAAATTCACTGAGGCCAAACCAGCCTCTCACAACAGTGCCAGCTGGCACGCTAATACAGATCGGTTCCTAGGATACTCACCTGGCAGGGGAAGCCTGTACCACAAGGGGCCCACCCTCCAAAAAATAATTCCATTTGGCGGGGGGGGTCTCCCCTCGTATTTCTCTTAAAAGCAAAGGTCTAGATTCAGCAAGTCCAAGAATAAAGATTAAAGACATATGGTCAATCTCTAGCCATCGTTGCATATATCCAAAACAGTGAAGTAGCCTGAATAATCTCCATATTCTTGTTAATGCTCCATTTTGCTTCCAATACAATAACAGATGTATAAAATATATAGAAACTGAAAGAGAGAAAGAGAGAGAGAATGCACAAGTATGCAAGCACTCAACTTTCCCTCTGCTTCTTCAGCAAAAGGTGGCTGGATTACTCCTTGACTGGACATAACCAAACTCTCTGAAATAACCAATGCGTAATCCCAGTAGCCCAAAAACTATGTAACTTGTTCCTCTAAAATAAGGCTTTGTCACCTTTGCAGACTTTAATTATTTTTAAAAAACTAGCTGAATAACCCAATTATTTGTCAACAGTTACATAACTGTGTTCACTTAATAGTAATGATTTTGAGGTCCAAACACTCTCACCCTAAGAACATTACCCTGTCTAATTCAAAACCACCATCAAATGAGCTAGTGAAGATCCACATGGTACTAATTTACTAACTGTATCCAACCTGTTGATGATTGCAACGTTTGGTGCAAGCTGTGTGGCAACTGAAGGGTGAACAGAGGTGAATGGATGCTGTTTCTGAAGAAGTCTTCTGTTGCTTTAGACTGCAAAACCTTTGTTTCCCAGAGCTGGAAAAAAAAAAGTTTGCTTTTTAAAAAATAAAATAAAACATTATAATATTTATTTCTATTTTTCTATTTTCTTAAAAATTAAACTGTTAGCTGATAGCACAATGAATGTAAGTGTTAAACTATAGTTAAAGGGTTAGAACTATAATTTTTCAGTTTTATAAACTGAAAGACAACAAGACATAAAACTTGTCTTGACAAACCTGCTTCAAGTCTTTTAAGACTTGTTCCTCTATACCTTCTTCAGCAAACAGATCCCGCACTCCTTCAATCACATCTTCAATAACAGAGCTGTAGAGTTTAGGCTACATAAAAGCAATTGTTAAAGTTTCAAATTCTCAAGTTTGAATCTATTCAGTCTGAAAAAGACATACAATATATACTTTCTAATCTTATAGTTTCAAGAAAACCCACCATACAAATTTTAATTAAATGCATCCTACTTCTGGTATGTATAGTCTGATTTTTCCATAAATTATGTTACCTTCAGACCTATAGCCTCAGCCTACCTACAAGGCTGAATTACAAGACTACAATGAAATGTGAGATAATAATCTTATCAAGATGTATGGGTACTGTTAGGTTACTTGGCTTTTGTGTCAATATTTAATCTCCCCACTCCTTTAAAAAGGGAAGTTAATTCAAGGCAGGTGGAAATGAACCTGTTTTTAATTTATCTTTCTCTCAAAGAGGCCAAAGGAACTTTAAGAATTCACTGTATTATTTCCACAAATGTAAGTAAATTCCAAGCCACGGAATTGGGGCAAGCACTTACAATAGAGTAACCAAAGCCTGGCCCACTTCCAAAATACACATAGTTCAAAAAAATATTCTGAAACATTGTCAAGTAAAAGTACAACTGCACCAAAATGGATTGACTAACAAAAACTAAGAAATGCATGAACCTTACCCTTTTCACAATCTGCATATTGCAGAGACTAAGCAACATCCTAACATGCTTCCTAACAAAAACATGCCATGGCAGTAATATTAAGCAGATTGCTACCCATATTAAACATTGGTCATTATCAATAGAAAAAAATAGCCCTGTGAGATAAACTCAGTCCTAAAAATTTATGTAAATTGTGCTCCTCTCTCACCCCAATGTAAAATGGCAATGCTAAGTGTAGTAACAGTACTGACCTAGTAGAAGTTCCACTAATAAGGAATGGAAAAATGGGAATTTAGTTGAGGTGCTGTTATTTCAAATTGTTCAATCAAGCCAAAATGAAAGTTGGCTCACTCTAGCATTGTTTATTCATACTACTCAGTAAATACTCTAAATACTCCTGCTCACAACAAGAGGAGCCAGGTTTTAAACTAATCCTTCTAAGATCCTATGACTAGGTCAATCAGTTACATTTAAAAAATGTTATTCACAAGTATATCCATTAATTAAGATTAAGTGCCCTAGATTAGTTGCTTCTCCTAAAACAGTTCACCCTGATAAAGTCATACTAAACTAATGCTTCAGTGTGACCACATTTAAAGCGGAAGGAAAAAACTCCTAGGACTAAAAACATCTTTAAGATCTGTCCTCAGAATGTAACAGCAGCCACCAACAATAATCCATTAGTACACAATTTTTCAAAAGCAAAGTAGGCATTAAACAAACTTTCTATTCTAGGAATACAGTTAGGCTTTATAGTCTTTCTCTATCTGTTATCTTTAATAAAACTATGTATAGTCCAGGAAGTCTATCTTAATCTCTTCTCTATTTAAAACCACACACACTTCCTCTCCTTGGAGTTCACCATTAGAAAAAAAAATGGTATACATGGTAAGCTTATACTAAGGCATAAGTATTTTATATCATTAACATCAGGAGACAGATACACATTAAAATAATATGTCTTGCCCTGGCTGGTGTGGCTCAGTGGACTGAGCTCCAGCCTACAAATGAAGAGACAGAGGGTTCGATTCCCAGTCAGGGCACATGCCTGGATTGCTGCCTCGCCAGGTCCCCAGGAGGGGTCATGTGAAAGGCAACTGATTGATGTTTCTCTCACGCATTGATATTTCTCTCCCTCTCTTTCTCCCTCCCTTCCCCTCTCTCTGAAAGTAAATAAATAAAATCTTAAAAAATAAAAATAAAAAACATGTCTCTAAAAATAGACCCTTTCTTGCTGCATATGTACACATGGAACCTATAAAATAACAGATCTGGGTAAGTATATGGCCTTTCACCAATGTGAAATCTGTTGAAATGAACTGAAAAAACAAAGTGCATCCTTATTTTTTTTTCTTTAATTCAGGTTTTTAAGATTGACAGAAGGTCTCATAAGTGCCATTTCACCTGTCAATTCCCATCGTGAGACTTAGGAACCCCTTAAGGAGACATGTTTGTGTTTAAATTCCAATTGTACAGTTTTGTATAACATGTTAAAGGTTGGGGAAATGAGGGTGGGGGAGAACTTTAAAAATATGTGGTAGGGTAACATGAAATACCATATTACCTGTTATTTCGTGTACACATACCTTAGAATCAACAACTGTACTTACGAATTACAACTAGAGTAAAATTGAACTCGGGAATTTTCTAAATGCAGGAAACTGGGAGAGTTAAGGTGAGTTCCACATCTAAACACCTTCTAAACGTCTTGTTCTAGACAAGCTCAGTTTGGGTGAGAAGTGAGGAAAGGAGGAGGGATGCTTGTTCTTCCGGGGGGAGCCAAGCCCAACTTCTGGCTGGGCTACTGGCCCTCATCAGCTTCCTCCCATAAAAAGAACAGCCAGGGTCCCTAAGGGAGAGGGCGTCTGAGAGCCTGAACGCCAGGAGAGGAAAGGGTATGCAGAGTTCGGCTGCCATGAACGCAGACCTGCGCTCCCTCTACACAGAGCCCATGCCGAAAGGCCAGGCTGGTCCTCCTTACCACCGAGTTGACACAGGCCATGACTCCCGCTGCAACGCCTCGCTCCTCGCGCCTGCGCAGCACGCGGTGCGCCACGGAGGGTCGCTCCCTGCGCGCTTTGAATGTGTGTGCACGTTGCCCGCGCTGCTACAGAAGGCACGCTGAGAGCGAGGCAGGGGAGAAAGGAAAGGGTATTGAATTGCACCTGGTGTACTGGAACTACGGTGGCCTGCGTGAGCTAAGAGCCAGCTGAAACGGGATGGTTAAATCTGATCTAATCAGCTTTGGACCGTTCACCTGACCCCTAGAAGAACCTTTATTTTCTCAATCTGTGAAATAAAGACTTAAAAAAATAGAGGAGGAGCAATGCGCTGGTAGATCCCGGTACACCTGCAGCTTTGAAGGGGGTTGGGTCAGGAAAGAGAGGAGGCTAGTGGTACCTGTTCTTGCCCACCAGTTTTCATTCCTCCCTCTCCGCTCCACTTGCAGCTGAACTCTAAAAAAATATAAGAAGAGCCAGTCTCTTCTAAATTGGTTCTCAAAGTGTGGGACCATCAGCATCATCTGCGAACCTGTTAAAATGCAAATTAATGGGTACCAGCCCAGGTCCACTGAATCAAACTCTCAGGATGGGGCCCAGCCTTCTGTAACTTTTTTTAACCCTCACCCCAGGACATTTTATTTTTCATTGCTTTTTTGGGGGGGCGGGGAGGAGAAACATCAATGCAAGAGAGATGCATCAATTGGTTGACTTCCATAGCCAAAATAGGGGATCTCAAGAGTCACCCAGACAGGGACAATAGGCGTCTGGACCAGGGTTTGCATCCATACCTCGATCCAGACAGGGAATCCAACCTACAACCCAGGTATGTGCCCTGATGGGGAGTCAAACCTACAACCTTTTGGCTGCAGACAATGCTCCAACCGAGCCACACTGGCCAGGGCCCTTCTGTAGGTTTAGCTTACTTTGCAGGTGATTCTAATGGGCGCTAAAAGGAGACACACTGTCCCAAGGCAAAGATTCTCAGCTTTGGCTGCACATTGAAATCACCTGCAGAACTTAATAAAGGTTTGGCACCTCAGTCCACCTGAGAGAATCTGATTCTATCATGCAGCCAAGGTGGAGAACCACTGCTAAAATAAAGCCAGCACCCCAATACCACCCAGGGTCCATTCCTCTTCAGACAGAAATCATTATCTCTTTATCAACAATAATTCCCTCCGTCCCCTGAAGGCTAGAACATCTAGGGGCATACCTTGCCTAGCTAGGGCAGAGGCTAGATGTAAGAACAAATAACCTGCAGGGTTAGAAAAGTGAAGAAGTCATCTGTTGCCACTACTCTGCCCGTTGAACAGCCTCTCTAGCCTAACTAGATGGCTTAATGATTAAAAATCCTATTAGATAAAATTGGCTGTTTATTTATTTATTTGTGCATGTAAATTCAGTAGAGCTATTTATGCCCTACCACTTTTTGCATTGTCTAGGGCAGGTACCATATTGTTTGTGAGTTTCAAGCAGCTGATTTATATGAAGCCTCATAGAAGACTCCTAAATTGAAAACTATCCAGAATTTCTTTTACAAAAAAAACAGGAATTTTATATAGTAATTTTTAATGATTATATCTGTACCTGGTAATTTACTACCAGAGGTATTCAAAGTGACTTATCTTTCACTCAAAATAGAACAGCTAAGAGCAAGCATTGATTCCTACTGATATTATAAAATCCAATTAAGTTATCCAAGCTGGGAAATAAGAAAGCTGAAGGGTCTCTTGTTTTCCATCTTTTCATACCCAAGTTTTAAAACTTTATTCCTAACTACACAAGATTGGTAATCAGCTAACTTTTGTGATAGCGTACTATTTTTATATTACTTCATTATATATTTTACCCTTCTAGGGCTATACTGTAGACTATACATACTTTTGAAATAAATTTGGACCTTGGTACCCATAAAAAGTGTGACTGAGACTTAAACTGTTACTGAGTCTACTTAGTAGACTCAGGTTACATAGAGATTTATGTAACTTTGGCAAAGCAGCTTCAGGTCACTAAAAGACTTAGATATAATTTCTTCCCAAGAATCCACAATGTCTTTTAGAAAATGTATACTTCAACCCGTGTTCTAAGTGAAACCAAGTTGCAAACCTGCTCTGGACCTGTGGTAGCTAGCTTCCAGGACAGCCCCCAATAATCCTCACCTCCGGGTATTTACAACCTTGTATGGTGCCCTCCCACATATAGAATAAAGCAGAAGTTATGGTGTGTCACTTCCAAGACTGGATTATAAATGGCTTCTTTTGTTGAGATTCTTTCAGATACACCCTTTAAGGAAAAGAAGCTGTCATGTTACAAGGACACCAAAGTAGCCTATGGAGAGGCCCATATGGCAAGGAACTGAGATTACAGCCAATGGCCAGCAAGGATCAGAAGCCTGCATGGATGATCACATGAATTACCTTGGAAATTGATCCTTCCCCAGTTGGGCTGTCAGATCATTACAGTCCTGGCTGACAACCTGACAGCCTCTCTTTGAGATACCTTGAGCTAGAATCACCCTCTGGGCATCTCCCAGATTCTCTATTCTCAGAAATTGTGTGAGATAATAAATATGTATCATTTTAAGCAGTTAAATTTGAGGGTGACTTGTTACATAGCATGAGATAACTAATTCAAGGCCCATTCTCTGACTGAACTGTGACCAGTGAAAGCATGGTTTTTCCCTCATTGTAATCTCAGCGTTTTAAAGTTTCTTGACTACCTTCATCAATCACAAGCGCATATGATAAGTATGTAAAGGAATCTTTATAGACTATTATTTGATAGCATTGACACCAGATTACCATCAAACCAGCAGACAGTTGTAGTCACGTAATGGGCACATTTTTTTTGGTCAATATTTCAAACTCAGAGGAAAAGCATGTTGCATACATAAAATATTTTTGATGCTAAAATTGAAATTTCAAGATCCCAAAGCCTCGGTGAAGCAATTTGACAGTGACTATTTTTTTTCTATGTTAGTAAATAGAAAATAAAAAAGGAATGCTGAGCTTTGGCCCTTCTTTGAATACTCAGTGCTTTGAAATTATACCTGTGGCAAAGCATAAAGCTCTTCCCCCAATGCCCATCATAGTTCAGAGCATCAGATTTTCATTTTCTCCTGCTTTGTTTAGATACTACAATGTATATTTAATATATCATTTATAAGCAATACCAGTGTTGTAACATTTAAGCAAATTTTAATAATCGGATTAATTTCTTTGCATTCTGTATGTTCTCATTACTTTTGCCTGGAGGTTTCAGTGATACTATTACAAAAGTAAAGAAACAATTTCACTTTGCTTATTGTGAGAAAAGGCCACATGCATGGAGTCCTTTCTCTGAATAAGAATTTTTTTAAAATGTATTTTAAAGGCAACCCATTATCTTTTACATATTAAATTTTACAATCAAATACAGGGCATTTCAGGAACTATATAGACTCTATAAATTTATCAGTAATGAAAAATACAAGTTAATCTATGAGCATATGGCTTAAGGCAGCAAATATTCATAATTAGTTTCTGAACATTTTGCAACAAATGCACTAAACCCAGCAGTATTGTGTTTCTCTGCCTTTGCTTCATTCTTCACATCTTCCAGAAAATGAAAATTCAGATAATTTCTGCCTCACCTTGTAACTTTGAAATAGTTACAATGTTGGTAGTTCTGATTTATTTATACTCTGCACTTTTGTAACATTTTCCATTTTCTAATACAACTGCAAAATCAGCTTACATTATTTGAACATCAGATACAATTTCACCAGGATGAATCCCTCCCCACTCCAACCCCAACAGGATTTCCATTAAAATGACCATGTGACACAACACTACGGCTACCTGGCAACCTTACCACACAGTGGAACACTGTTAATGATCACATTACTGCCTATTTAAAACTGTTTTAATGTTAAAGAGATGTATACATTGTGTACATATGAAAATTAGTGATTACAATTAAGTCATGGAAAGTATGAAGGGTGACTTCCAGCATAATTTTCTCCATGGCTACTTTTTCAATATTCTTCTCATCAGGGTCTTGATAAGGATTCAGTCATTTCCTAGCTAACAAATTATTCCATTTTCAATTCTTTAATCACAATATATATAATCATACACGAGCATGAAATATTAGCAAGGATAATGTCTATTGTCTCCAGTTAATTTTTCAATCTAAATTTTTACTTAGAGAAGATAGAGGTATACACCTAGAGAAAACCAACAAGCTTTGTTCTCACAATAATTGTACTTTACTTTTTTTCCTAATTGTCTCATCTTATAAAAGGTAAATGGAAGCATCTTGAAAATTCAATATCTTAGGTTATCTTAGGTGCTTCAAATATCAGGAGAGGCAGGGACAACATGGAGTAGACACTCCTTCCTATATCTTAGCTGAATAATTACAGCTAAAAACTCTAGACGGTGCATGTAAAACTATCATAACAAGACTCTGAAAGGTGGAAAGAAGAGCATAGAGCAGGTAGGAACCTTACAACCAAGAATGATGCAGCAGGAATCCTCCGGTTTTCTTTTTGCCTCATGTATACTGGACGGCGTGCTGGTGAAGTTGGCAACTCAGAAACATCAATGATCACAGACAAAAAAAAAAACAAACGGCTTTTTCTCTAGCTAAAGGGCCCACAACGGGGCAGAAAGACAGAAAACTTTTAGACAATAAGTGTTCTCCTCCCATCAAACACCCCAGAAAGAACGGGCCTCACCCCACCCTGCCTGCAGAGGCAGGGCAGGGAGTTTAGATTTCCAGTCTTGCCCAGCTGCTATGAGGGGCAGCCACCCCCACAATGTCACGGGAGAGGCGACACCTGGACTAGCACCCCACCCAGCTATACTGAGGCATCCAGCCCGCCTGCTGGGGTGGTGGGAGAGGCTGACTTTCATTCCTGTTTATAATCGTGAGACCATCCCCTTGCGGTGGCAGTGGAGGTCACGTGAGAAGGAGTAACAAGCTACCCCGCTCTGTCTTAGCCAGGGTGATGTCA